TAAAGTAACATTAGCGATGGAGTCTGCTTACAAAGAAACCAAAGAAATTCAAAGTTCCAGTACATTTAAAGACTCTCTTTCTTGTTCTTCGGATCAAAATCAAATTAAAGCACAAAAAGATATACGAAAGAATTCGAATTATCAAACAAACAGAATTAATTTCAAAAATAATAAAAAAAAGTGTTTCAAATGTGGAGATTTCGCACATTTAGCTAATACTTGTCCACATAAAAATTTAAAATGTACAGAATGTCATAGATTTGGACACCTGGCAAGAGTCTGCATGAAAAGTTCCTCATCTAATATCACTAGATTGCATACAGAACAAAACCAGATTAATTTCACAGAAGGACTCGATACGAAAATACATGAATATAACTCAGGAACAGATGGAACAGACATGTATTTCATAAATACAATTAAAGAGTTATTTTTACCTGAAAATACAAGAAAACCAAAAAAATATTTAATAAATGTTTATTTAAATTCAATACCAGTTAATATGGAATATGATACTGGGGCTGCAGTTTCATCAATGTCACATGAAAATTTCAAAAAACTGTTTCCATTTATAAGAATTTTTCAAACTAATTTGCCATTAAAAACTTACACTGGCGAAATTATAAAACCTATTGGATTTGCAACTATGAAAGTAGAAATGGATAATTATTCCTTTGTTGGTAACCTTTACATTATCCCTAACAAGGTGGATTCAATTTTCGGGAGAGAGTGGATGAGATCCAGCGACGACGGTGTTTTACAAATAAATCAAAATAAAATATATGGAAGTCAAAAGAACGAGATAATTGATAATTTGAAGCTTAAATTTGAAGAAGTATTTAAACCTGAAATAGGAAACATTAAAAAAAATGAAGCAAATTTATACCTCAAAGATAATGCAATGCCAATTTACGTACCTGCAAGAAAAATACCCTATGCCATAGAAGAAAAGGTCATCGAAGAAATTAGGAGACTGGAAGCCGCTGGAATAATTAGTAAGCTAGAATATAGCGAATGGGGAACTCCAATTGTTCCAATAATAAAAAAAGATGGATCAATAAGATTGTGTGCGGATTACAAAATAACCATTAATAAAGTACTTAAAGATGACAAATACCCAATGCCTAACGTAGAAGATATTTTTGCAAAGACGATGTTGGGTGGTAAAGTATTCACAACATTAGATATTCGAGAAGCTTACTTACATATGTCAATGAATGCGAAAAGTGCAGAGATTCAAGCTATTACAACACCGAGAGGAGACTACAAAGTAAATAGGTTAATGTTTGGTACCAAAGTTGCCCCAGCTATATGGCAACGGTACATTTCCCGAACGTTGGCAGATATTCCAGGAGTATGTGTATTTTTGGACGATATCAAAATTCAAGGATCAATTTTAACAGAAAATATCAATAGAGTTGAAATGGTTTTAAGACGATTACAGGAAGCAGGTTTGAGAGTTAAGATGGAAAAATGTAGATTTTTTGAAAAATCAGTTAAGTATCTAGGGCATATTGTATCCGAAAATGGTTTGGAAAAATCCGATGAGAAAATAGAAGCTGTCAAGAATGCTAGAAGACCTACCAATTTAACTGAACTTAGAAGTTGGTTAGAAATGGTAAATTATTATGGGAAGTTTCTAAAAGACATTGCTAGAAAATTACATCCACTCTATAATTTATTACAGAAAGACGTACCATACCAATGGACAGAAGAATGTGAAGAAGTTTATAACTGGATAAAATTAGAAATCGTTTCTCCTCAAGTCTTATGCATTTACAATCCAGATCTTCCACTTTCGTTAGCTACAGATGCTAGTCCATATGCTCTAGGAGCAGTGCTGTCCCATAATTTTCCAGATGGATCTGAAAAAACCCATTGCATTCGCTTCAAGGAGACTTAATAAATCTGAAAAAAATTACAGTCAGATTGATAAAGAAGCGACTGCTATTTACTGGGGTGTCACAAAATTTTTTCAGTACCTTTACGGGAGGAAATTTATACTTATTACGGATCACAAACCTTTAGTTTCAATATTTAGTCCAGAAAAACATTTACCTTCAATGGTTGCTACAAGAATGTTACACTACGCTCAATTTTTACAAGGTTTTGATTTCGAAATTATTTATCGTTCAACTTCAAACCATGCCAATGCTGACGCTTTGTCAAGATTACCGCAAGAATATGACGAAAATGGAAATAACTATAATTGTGACGATGTGAATGCTTACCAGTTACAGCAAATTATAAAATTACCTGTCACACACACAGAAATTGCCAAAGAAACACGGAAAGAAGAAAACCTACAAGACATTTATAATTGCTTATCACAGGGAAAAATCATCGAAAAAGAAGGTTTTATAGGAAGAGATGTTGAATTTTCTTTAGCTGATGGAGTTATAATGAAAAATAATAGAATAGTGATACCAAAAAGTTTACAGAACAGAATTTTAGAAGAATTACATGAAGGCCATTTAGGAATATTCCGAATGAAGAATCTGGCAAGATCATACGTTTGGTGGGTTGATATTGATAAAGATATAGAGAATATTGCTAAATCTTGTATCACCTGTCAATTATCACAAAATCAACCTAAAAAGACAATACATTGTTGGGAGAACAGCAAAAGTCCTTGGCATAGATTACACATAGATTTTGCAGGTCCTTTTTACGGAAATTTTTTTTTGGTCCTAGTGGATGCATATTCAAAATGGTTGGAAGTAATACTAATGAATCAAATTACTGCTACAAAGACAATACGTGTTTTGAGAGATATTTTTGCTAGATTTGGTTTGCCTATTGTAATGGTAAGCGATAATGGACCAACTTTTACTTCGAATGAATTTAAGATGTTTCTAAAATCAAATGGCATTAAGCATCGGTTCTCCGCACCATATCACCCAGCAACCAATGGACAGGCGGAAAGATATGTCCAGACAGTTAAAAATGCATTAAGAAAAATGTCACAAGATGCTGGAGATATAAATTGCAAGGAAGCTAGCAAATGTTTTACTTCATTACAGAAAAACATCACATAGTAGTACAGGTGATCAACCTTGTATGATGTTAATGAACTTGGACATTCGTACCAAAATTGATTTAATTCGACCAACTGAGATAACCGATATTCAAGATAACACGATTTTTTTTTATCCTTCACGAGAATTTCAGGTAGGCGATAAAGTGCGGGTACGTAACTATATTAATAATTCAAAAAAATGGGAATTTGGCAAAGTAACTGAAAAACAAGGATTGCTACATTATTTAGTTGAACTTTATGATGGTAGAATCTGGAGAAGACATATTGACCAAATGGATGCTACAGAAGTCGATTTACAAAGGATGCCACCTAAATTTCCCGAGGGAAACATACCTCATACAATCAACCACAATAAAACTATGTCAACTACTACCACACACAATTATGATAACTCTGAGATCCCAAATACTACAAATACCAATGATATTGAAAACCAAATTCCGAGTTCCACTAGCAACAGAAATGGTCATCCAGAAACCGAAACGCAAGACATTACTAACATGGAAAATTCAAGAATGAATGAAGAAAGAGAAGAAGGCCAAAGTGAACAACATACCACTAAAATATACCGAAGATCAAATCGAATCCGGAAACCAGTTAAACGAATCGATTTATAGTTTTAAATATAGTTGGGAGGACTGTTGTGTATATGGACCGTATGGACCGATATACAAGTTGGTGCTCACATTGTTAGATTACCAGTTAAAAAGCATTGTCAATATATTTTGTCATTATAGTTACATTTAATAAATAGTATTCACACTAAAGTACTTCCAAATATAACATCTATCTTGAACTGTTTCGGAAATAATGATACTAGAAAATTGACTTTTTTGCATCTTTTACAGACTGTAAAACCTAAACTGTTGATTTTACAGCAAAACTGATCATACATGTTTTTCTTATTTTTTTATAAAATATCATTTGACACCAACTTTGAATTTAATCCATGATTGAAGATTCCAATTAAATTTAATCTTAGGTTAAATTCAAAGTTGGTATCAAATGAAAAGCTGTAGACAAGAATGTAAAATCGGTTTTGCTGTAAAATTAACAGTTTAGGTTTTACAGCCTCTCAAAGTTGCAAAAAAAGCACAGAAAATATAGTTCACACTCCAGAAGCCTGACGGGAATGAAACAATGTAACAGTGTAAACTATATTTTCTGTGAAAAAAGTCAATTTTCTACTGTCATTATTTCCGAAACAGTTCAAGATAGGTATATGACATTATACATGAAATATGTCTAGAATTTTCTGCAGAATTCAAAAATGTCATAATATACAGGGTGTCCCATTTAAAAAAATATATTTTTTAGTTTTTGAAACTTTTTGCAACACCCTGTATAAACAAAACTATGTTTTCTGAAAACTATTTTTCAAGCACTACAATTTTCCTATTTAATAGTTTTTTATACACAGTGGCACAAAAAAGTTATGGGGGGTAGGAAAATATAAAAAATGACCCTGTACGGGGTGTTTCTGAATAGTGGGATCAAACTTCTAGGATGAATAGTACTCATTAAAATAAAATAAAAAGTTAATCGAAACATGGGTCCGCAAATGCTTAGTTTTCGAGAAACAGGATGTCAAAGTTTAAAAAAAAATCGGTTTTTAGATCAAAAAAATATCAGTAAATCCAATTGAGGTAAAAGATAGGTACCCTTATGTTATTAAAAACTATTAAAAACAAATCTGCCAAGTTTAAAGAAAATCGGGAAAGGGAATTTTCAGCTGAAACCATTTTTTTTTCAAACTTTGACACCCTGTATCTCAAAAACTAATCATTTGTGGACCCTCGTTTCTATTACCTACTTTTTTTTTTAATTTTAATACTAGTACTATTCATCCTAGAAGTTTGATCCTGCTATTTCAAATTGAATTAAGTATATTACCACTTTCTGGAACACTTTCTATCACTTCCTCGATCACTTCTATGTCAGAATGTGCAGTCAGATCTTCAAAGACTTCAAAAGCACTTTCCTCTTCCCTTCCTGATTGTTGTGTCTCATCCTCAACTTTTGCTAAAAATAAAGTTACAAAAGTAAAAAATCCATGTAAAAAATGTAAATATTAATCGTCTATAAGTTCAGTTTACAAGACACACACAGTAATTTAAACATTTGCTTTGCTACTTACAATCATTATTTATTTCAAGTTCATAATTTTCACCTCGATCTTCAATAATTATGGTGGATGTTGAAGCACATCGGTCACGTGCTTCCAAACCCAATTTTTTCGAAACAAATGTGTTTTTCTTAGCTTTTTTTGTGTTTTCTTCGGCACATAAGAGCTCATTGATACTCTGGCATAAATGATCTTTTTCTGTATATAATACAGATCTATTCCAGATCTGGAACAAAAAAACCAATGCACAGTTCATCCACTGGTTCAGCTCCACATTAAATGGTACTTATGCAGGCTTATGGTAGAAGGTTGTCACGTTATACCAACATGAGCTTTTATGAAATCAAAGTGTACTTCTCGGTGTACTTACTAGGTGTGGAAATTGTAGAAAAAATATAGGTACTTACAGGTTTTTAAGATTTTTGAGTTCCTTGAGCCATAATTTGATGAGCAACTCCAAATGTTCTTTGAGTGTTCGTATGGAAAAGTTTTTTTTTGTCACAGAGAACATATTCTCTTGTATGGTTGCCCAAACAGCTGGATTTTCGATAGGGTTCTGCCCCAAAACCTCACGTAAAAGGGTAATATCATCGTGATCGTTAAAGCGTAAACGTTTTTTCACTCTCTGGTCCATAATTGTCTACATTCAATGAGAAAAGCACCGAATAAACCGAAGTTAATCAACAGCCTCCTGTATGATACAAGTTACAAGTATAGGCCGATTCAGTACATAACCTAAAAGTCATCTGTCAAATCCTTGTACCGTAAACAAAAACCAACGCCCATTTATCATTGTGTATTTTCCTTTGTTTTTTGAGAAATGTTGTGGAGTGCTGAAACGTTTTTGAAGTGTGTAGATTTTTTTTGTTTAAAGTATAAACTTGAAAGTCTAAAATGAGTGATTATCTGATGAAGTTGGAAGCTGAAAACCCAGAAATTGCGATTCGCTACAAGCAGAAAATTTCTATTGTAAATAATATGGATCCTTTCAGTTTGAGTGATGCAGAGTTTAATACTTCCCCAGGGGAGTTTCCAAAGATTACAAACATGGACATAATCAGTTATTTACTGCTTACAACAAGCTATTATACTTCACAGCAATTAAAAGCATATAAAAGCCTGAGTGCCTTCAAATATTTCAAGGCAGGATTTGTTAGCCACTGTGGAAGCCTCAAAGTTGCTGATCATGTAATTATCAGAGCCAAAGTAAGTCACTCATACCATGTCATGACCCTTTCCTGCATTTCTATAATTTCTTGATTTTTTAGGTCAAGCATTCACAACGGATGAATAGTCCTCCATTGCAATGTTGGGCGATTTGTAAAGGTGAAGGCGATATTGTATCAGCCCACGGCCACTGTACTTGTATGGCTGGAGCAGGTGAAGTGTGCAGCCATGTAGGAGCCCTACTTTTTGCAGTTGAGAGTATTGCAACTTCAACAGAGGGAGCATCATGTACAGATGTGGCATCAGGCTGGAACATTCCGACAAAAGTTAAACAAGTGGAGTACAAACAGGTGAAACAAATTGATTTTGGGAGGAAAATTACTTCCTTGTCATTGGCAAGTCCTGCTAAGGTATCACTTGTTGATGTATTAAAAGATATCGAAGAAGCTGGTTCATCATCGGTGCTAATGAGAGTGGTAGAGCCCTTTGCTACTGCAATCGCTGAATCAATGAAAACCGAAATTAAAATATCTAATAATCCCTATACACAAGTGTATCAACATAAATATGAAGCTTATAATCATGAGGAACTTCTTCATGAAGCAAATAAATTAGTTGTTTCTGTATCCAGCGAAGAGTGTGATTTGATTGAAACTGCCACAAGAAGCCAGAGCAAATCGAATGAGTGGTTTTTGCAGAGAACAGGCAGGATTACTGCATCAAAATTCAAACAAGCATGCTGTACCAAAATTGAAAAACCATCAATATCATTAGTGAAATCCATTTGCTACCCCCTGAAATTTCAATTTAGGTCCAAAGCAACCGATTGGGGAAAGCTGAAAGAAAAAGTGGCATTGCAGGCCTATCTCAATTATATAAATCAGGACCATACTGATATTATAATTTCAGAAGTAGGACTGATTCTGTCTGAACAATATCCCCAGTTTGGAGCTTCGCCAGATGGCATAGTTGAATGTAGTTGTTGTGGTCGTGGTTGCATTGAGGTAAAATGCCCATTTCTCCTCAAAAACCTGATCTTGGAGGAATTTGCGATGAAAAAGGGAACTTGTTTAGAAGTGGTAGATGGGATTACGGATTACGGATTAGCAACAAACATGTATATTTCTATCAAATGCAGCAGCAGATGGCTTTAAGCAAAACTTCATATTGCGATTTTGTAGTATGGTCCCCAACGGAAATGTTTGTCCAAAGAATCTTATTTAATGAAGATTTTTGGTGGAGTGAATGTGCGAAAAGTTTGGAATTCCACAAAAGGGTCATCATGCCAGAGCTTCTTGGGAGATTTTACACAAAAACTTCATTGCCATTTGAAACCTGGTGCATCTGTAAGATGATTGACGATGGCAGACCCATGATAGAATGTGGTGACAGTAACTGTGATGTCAAATGGTATCACATGGATTGCCTTAATTTGCAAGAAGTACCAGACACTTTCTGGTTATGTCCTAATTGTTTGTGATAACCTGGTACAGGTACTTTTTAGGGGTTTAGTTTTAAGCATTTATTGTTTTTTTATTATTTAGTATTACTATTGTTTCAATGTTTTTTTTTTTTTTTTTATTGTAATGTGGCAAATTCATATGTACAGGGTGGTTATTTTATTCTGATTGCAATATATACAATACAATACAATTGAATATAATTTACTCCATATTTACATGCAGAAATGTTTTACGTATTCTAATAGAAAATTCTGTCTACCTACCTACCTTTGCAGGTAAACTGTGTAGGTAATCAATATTTTCAGTTAGAATTAATAAAACATTTCTGCATGTAAATATAAAGTGAATTATATTCAATTATATTATATTGTGTATATTGCAATCAGAATGAAACATATCATCAAATAAACTAAAAATTTACTGGGTGTTCCATTTAAAAAAAATGCTATTGTGCCCATAACTGTCAAAATATATTAGTCTTTTGTTTTTTGTCCATCCTCTCTAAAACTTGAAAAGCAACCCTAAGTATATTTTTTTGTTTATTTAAATAACTTTCAAAATTAAGAAATTATGACAGTTTAAAATGTTATCAAGATAATTTGACTACACTGTACATTATATAGGTATGTAGGTATATAAGATTCATAACAATATTAAAAGCTATTATCTTCTAAAGTGTGATTTTATTTCATGGCTCGATTATCCCAGTGAACTCCGCACCTCAATAGCTTTGATAATTGGGACTCTCAATTATCCACTCTCAATTTGAGAGTCCATTGCATGTGTGAACCTAGTTTATTGTTAACCCCTCTCTTCCCCCCCCCCTAAAAAAAAAACTTTTTGAAAAACCATTTATTGAATTTAAAAAAAAACTTATTCTAAAGGTACTATTGGAGGACATAGGTTTATAAGTACACAGCAAACATTAATTATTTCATCCAATATAGGTTCTTGGAGAAATGTTGATAGGGTGGTAATTGTTACAGGTCCACAAAGAATTTTATATTTCAACCTTATCAAACCGATTACACGTTCTATGTGTATTCGTACATGAGCAATTGCTCGAGTCTTTTCCAGGTCGATTGCCCTAAAAAGCTCAACAAATTCTTTTATTAAGAATCCCCTATCAGCCATAACAACATCTCCTGCTTTTAAATTATTTAAAAAAAAAAGAGTTTTGAGTTATTATTTTATCCGAAGTTCTGCCACCCCACCCTTCACTTATAAAACATATGGATCCTTGAGGAGTTATTCCATATAAATATTTTATTGTTTGGCTATGTTTATAATTTGACCAACATTCAGCAGCAGCTAATAAGTCTGAGGGCCTTTCACATTTTATTTCAAAACAGTCAATAATAACTGTGGTTTTTTCATGGAATGACTCTTTAAAACAAGCTGGCATTGTTTTCATAAGAACTTCCCTTTCAGGCCAAACAATAAAATCTTTAAAAGCTACATACATGTGTAATATATTTTTAAAGTAAGTTGATGCAGTAAACGGACTTACACCAAACCTATATGAAATATCTTTAAAATCTAAATTCAAGCGCAACTTAACAAGAGTTAAAAGAATTTGTTGAGGAACAGGTAAACACATATTTGGATGAACATTAATCAAAGGTGAAACATGCTTAACTATTATATTAAAAACTTTAAAACCAGACAGTCCAGTAAAATATTTTACCTACGAGCGTGCGGTAAAGTGCACTTTACCGCACGTATTTGCAAATGGAAAGTATCACTTTACCGCACACTATGCGGTAAAGTGCACTTTACCGCATAGTGTGCGGTAAAGTTAACTTTACAGCATAGTATGCGGTAAAGTGGACTACAAAGTGTGCGGTAAAGTGCACTTTACCGCATAGTGTGCGATACAGTAAAATTTGATATTTTTAATCAGAAATCCTCCCTTATTCAGAAAATGGATTTTTGATCATTTCTATATCTAATTTAGTTTCATTAATTAATCTGATTCAATAATTAATTTTATCAATGCCTTTTTTTAGAGATGTAGATGCTCATAGGTGTACCTAACACATGCGGAAAGAGCCTTTACCGCCCTTAACGGCTTGACCGAACTCCGCTCCGCGTCGTTCAGTCAACTGCCGTTGCGTGCGGTAGAGTATCACTTTCCGCATTTGTTAGGTAAATAACTATTGTTTGCATGTTATCGTTTTCTAAATTTTTAACAGTTAGAGTAACTTTTTGTAATTTCACAATTTTTTCATTGGCAATAGCTATATTTAAAAGTTGATTTGTGATATCCTGCACAGTTAAAGATGTCTGGGTACATTTTGACACATTATTCAGATTCAATGTTTCTTCTACACTTTCTTCCATCCAGGATGAAGATGTTTCAGGACCTTGAATAACTGCACCAGGAACCTGAATAAAATATTACTCTATCAATAAGAGGAAATTAAAGACAGTAGCGATTTGTTAGAGAAACAAATTACAGAAATGTATGAATTACTTGCTCAATCTTTGGCCTATGCTTTGGCTGTATTTTGAATATCCACAATACCTACTGCCTACAGTTTGTTCAGATCGAAAGAATACCTGTATTATCTATAAACAAATCCATTTACCTACCTGTCTTACAATCTGACTTTCTTCAACACATAGCTTTTTTCTTTTTCTTTCAAACTGATCCATTTTAGTGTAGCTTGAAGTTTCTCCATATTTAGTGTAGCCCATATTTTGGGATGGGACCCAATCTGGATTAAGATCATCAATTAATTCTGCCGGTTTTCCTACAAATAAGAACACCCGACCCGATTACTAAAGGAACAAATAATTGTATTTAGCTACATCAAAATTACCTGTAATGAAGTGTCTAGAACAAACAAATGCGAATTTTAACTTTGTTTCCGTCAAG